CACTGTGGCCGTCGCCGTAGGACCGGGCGATGCTTCCGTTCTCGCCGCCGCCGCCGCCGCCGCCGCCGTTCTGGCCCTCCTCGGTGACTTGCCTCCCCGGAGGCGGGGGCGTAGAGGGCAGCGACGAGAGCGACACCTGCCGCTGCTGCCGCTGCCGCTGCCGCTGCCGCTGCTGTTCTACGCCCCCGTCGTAGCTGCCGCTCCCGGAGCTCTCTCTCGGCCTGAACCCTGTCGCGGTACCACCGCTCCGGCCGGGAGAGCGCGCGGTGCTCGTGGAAGAGGAGGTGGCGAACTGAGTCGGGAACGTGGACGCGGGGTCGTCCTTCGACCCCGCCGGCACGTAGCGACCGGACAATCTCACACTTCCGATGGTGGAGGTGGTGGAACGAGCCGTGCACCTGGAGTCGCTCCTTTTCATCGACGTCGGGCCGGACAAGCGCCCGCTCGTGACCGTGGAGGTGGTCGACTGCGCCGGGGTCGGGATGAGGCGTTCCTGCAACAGGGGATAGGGGACGCGAGTTCGGTCTGAATTCTTTTGTGGCCTGCCCACTGTTTCCTTCCAACAATCTGGATGTCCGCCGCAGTAGTTCCGTTGGAGGTTTTGGGCCGCGAGAAAAGGCGATGTCATTGAAAACTTAATCGCGGTTGAGAGTACGGTCGTCCCTCGACTAAGGGCACACATGGTTTTGCGTTTAAACAGGTGCCCTTAAGCCGGGGAAGTGTCGATAAGGTTGGTACCCCTCCTTAGTTGTACATTTTGCGATCCACCATGCCTGCGAAAAAAGAGTTGTCCTTAACCTGGGGAGTGTCCTTGACCGAGGGATGGCTGCTGTGGTTGGTTATTGCCTGGTGTGTTAGACTTTAACATCGGCTCTTAATGAACCAATGCTGTCTTTGTTTGCGGGTGGAACACACAAGCAGAGCTCAATAGTGGAGGAGATTTTCCAGTTCCTCTGAACGAGGTGATTTTATCAATGGTTCTTCGACAAGTGCACACGACATGCATCCATGCGAAGAAGAACGTAGGAGGTGATCATCAAGGCAGCCCCGGTGCGTAGCGGTAAACATTAGCCAATCGAATAATCAGCACCACGTTGTTGTAGGGGGGGTATTGTATGTTTTGTTTAAGCGACCATTTGTAGCGTTGCAAGAACGGGGTTGGTTATTGTACAGAGAAAGAGGGTAGGCTAGGTTTTCCTATCGGAAAAAAGAACAACCAACGCACTCCTGATGTGATGGGACTTGTGAGAAAGGCAAAAAAAAAATACCACTTTTGACGAGGGATGCAAACATGTCAGCACCTTTCCTCTCTCACACCCCTTTCTCTCCCTCTCACACCCCTTCCTCTCTCCCACACGCCTTCATCACACGCCTTACGCTCTCCCTCTCACACCCCCACCTCTCCTTTCCCACACCCCTTCCTCTCTCACCGGATGCGCGATGGGCCCGTCGTCGCCATCGTCCCCATCGACGACGACCTCCAAGCGTTGCCCGCCCCCGCCCCCGCCCCCGCACTCCGAGGTTGCCGCTACCATTGTCGATGTCGGTACTAGTGCTTGCGGAGACGGTGGCGGCGGCGGGGGGCCCAGCAGCATCTCGGTGAAGTACCGGAGGGCGGAGGCGTGCCCCTCGAAGGAGATGCAGATCTTCGCGGAACGTCCCACGAGGGTGACGGTTCTTCCCGTCAAGTCTTTATCCACCTGAATTAAATAGAAAAAACACACATGCCTTAGCTGTTTATGACCGTTGAATTCGCGCCCTCGAGAGGACGGAGCATTGCTCCCACAGATACCATAGGTTGCAGAAGAGATCACACCCCCTCGGCCGGGTTTCACGCCTCGATTTCTCGGCGGTAAAAACAGTGACGGCGCCGAGTGTGGCGGACGGCGCTGGAACTGTGTCGTCGAGAGCTTTCCGAAAACGTATACTTCAATTTCGGCATGCTCTTCGTCGTCGAGAAATCGAGCTTTCAGAATCGGTCCAGGGGGTGTGGTATCTTAAGGAACCTGCGGCATTTGGGAGGGTTTAGTATCAGAGGTACTATAAAACTGGTCGTGGTTAAACCTAGCAATGACATGCATACACACAATGATCGTCGTAACAATGGCAAGCGGTGTTGTCGCCAATATCAACGGACGATTGTTCTTGTCGACAGAGATAGCATAGGACGCCCTTCTGTCTTCACACCCGCTCTACATCTTGCAGACCACCTTAATTCCGTGCCTCCTGTTCTGTAATATTGCCACCGGTACACAGAGGTACAAGAACGGACAAATACAACAACGCGTCCATCAGGGATAGCGTAGTACCAACACCAGTGGTCACCACTGCCAACACCAATAGTTTGTATCCCAAATTCAAAACTCTGCCTCTCTAACACGGACGGCAAAATGAACGAGACCGCCGACTGACTGGAATCTGAAACCTCAGCGGTGGTACCTACCTGCAAGAACAAGAACGAGAACGAGAACGAGAACGAGAACAAGAACGAGAACGAGAACGAGAACGAGAGGAACAAGAACGAGACCAACAACAGCAACAACAATAACAACGTCAACGACAACACCGACCACGACAACAATCATAACAACAACAACACCTCGAGAAGATCAGCCAGGGCGAACTTGTGGTGCTGCTGCACTGCTGTCCCGTCCTCCTCTTGGTGGTCGGTGACGATGGTCATCTCCTCCCCATCCGACGACAGACGCAGGTTTCGGAAGTGGGCCATGACGCACCTGCAATCGAACGCGAACGAAAAAAACACGCGTTACGGTTTCCGTTTTTGTTGTCTTGGTTGTTGTTGGTTTGTTGTTGTTGCTGGTGATATTGTTGCTGTGTCGTAGTTGTTGTCTTTACCCTTAGGTCCGTTCCGGTCTCTGCTCGTGAGCACCATCCGTATCGGCTACCTGTCCTTCTGACCCAAGATGCAAGTCCCCGGCCCGTCAGCATATCAGTACCGACAGAAATCGAAAGCGCTGGCAGGGAGCGCTAAGCAACCCTCACACACCGCCCCTACGATACGTAGACTCTCCTGATGGGGCTTTGCTGTGATCCCTCCCATGCTTGCCGATCTTTGGGCGTCGTAACAAGCGACGAAAACCCAACTTTGATGGCTGGGGGGGGGGGTGTTTTTGAGGGGGGGAAACTCCGGCTATTACGGCATCACGCTCTAT